CACATGCATTATCTTGCATTTATTATAATTAAAACCCATCTGCCATTTATTTGCCCAATTCACTAAATGATCTAAATCCTTTTGTAAATCAGTGGCATCTTCTTCACAGCTAGCAACACCCAAGAACTTTATATCATTAGCAAATGTAAGTAACTTATTGATTATTCCTTCATCTGTGTCATTTATGTAAATCAAAAAGAGCGAAGGGCCTAAGACTGAGCCCTTAGATAACATTAATTCAATTTGACTGAACCCCATTTGTAACTCTCTGCTTTCTTCCTTCCAGCCACTCTTCTATCCAATTTGCTAACTTATCCCATACACCCACAATAATAATTTTTTTACAAGCCTTTTATGTAGCACCTTCTCAAATGCTTTATGAATATCCAGATACAACAAATCTACATTCTTATCCTCATCTACATAAGCAGTAACCTTTTCCAAGAATGTCAAAAGATTTGTAAGGCAAGATTTTTCCTTAGTGAAACCATGTTGACTATCTAATAAAATTCTAAACTTTATTAAATGACTTTGCAAAGCATCTTTTAACAGACTTTCCAAAACTTTTACCATAACTGATGTAAGACTAATGGGTCTATAATTACTGGGACAATTTTTATCACCTCCCTTGAAAAGGGGAGTTACATTAGCTAACTTCCAATCCTCTGGCGCCTGCCCACTACTCAAGGACTAACAAAAAATAGTAGTAAGTGGCTTACATATCCAATCTTTAACCTCCTTCAAAACACCTTTGGGAAATATTTATCTGGCCCAGGAGCCTTATTGTTTCTTAAACTTCCCAAATTTTTCTTAACCAGCTCAGAATTAATGCTGTTGTCTTGTTTGATCTCATTTCCATTTATCAACTGTTCAAGATGTGGACTACTGCTTAAATATTTGTAAGTAAAAACCAAAGAAAAAGCTAAATTTAAAGCTTATATGGTATTAAAATTTGAATTATAAGGTATATTTTGAAGCTACTTTTATTGACGTACATTCGTAAAAAAGGTTATAAAACAAAAGCCCTGGTTTCTAACCTTTGTGCTTAGTCTTATTGATTCTCTCACAACTGAGGTGAAAATAACTTAATTTTTGTAAATTTTAAATAAGCATTTCATAAAACAAAATAATTATCACTCACTAGAATAAGACATAACAAAACTATTATAATTTACCTGGCTTTCTAACTAGGCATAAGTAGGTTAAAAAATCAATTTATGTTTGGAGCAACAATTTTAGTAAACACACTACAACATTTGGTAGTGAATTTTGACTTTCTCTGATATACAATTGACATACAATCATTGTATTTATAAGGTTCAGAATCTGCTTTTTGTGTTGGTTATAAACATGTACTTAAGACAGGTACACATGAGTAAACAAAAGAATGATGGAAGAGGCTTTTCTGATAAATTTGTTAGATATATTGAAGTTTAGGTTTTTACTTGATCAAGTACTATTGACATTGTATGTAAAAGTAAAAAATTTAAATTGCACAAATTATTGTGAGAACGTGTCATGACATACAAGAGTGAGTATTGAACAATTTTTTGATATTTCCCTTTGAATTATGAAATTAACTCGTATGATGTTAAAATTTGATTTTAACTATGTTTTGATTTTAAGTTTACTGATACAAATTGACAATAAAGTAGTTGAATTAAATTTTTGAATGTAACTGTGTAAAAAATCATGACATGCACATAGGTTTAATTAGTTCTAGCTTGCTGCTGGTAAGAGATGTATAAATTTTAAAAAAATTGTTGAAGCATTTGCTGGATTCTGCTGAGCATAACTATTGCTGCATCCTGAGTAAAATTCTGCAACAGTTTGGCTTGATCTGATCTCACATTTCTTAGTTTTAATATGACAACATATTATAAATGTACAGATTATAATAGGATTTTTATATTTCCTTTAGCATTTGTCTAGGTAGAGGTATTATCAAAACAAAAGAATAATAAAAACAAGTTTTTAGATACTTATTTCTCACATTCCATTTTGCCTTATTCTATTAGAAGATTAAATTACCATGACTTGTAATTAAATTGAAAATTTTTAAAGTTTTTCACTTGAAAAAATATACTGCAGTAGTTTTACCAATCTGTACAGGATATTGTCTTTTTGTTCTCTTACTTTCTTTCATGTCTGTAAGAAGCCACTATATGTACATTTACTGACCATGATTTACATGGTTACCTATGCAGCAGAAATTCATCCAGACTCCAGTTGAATTAAATATTTACAGTAAGGTTGTGGTGATTGGATATCAAGCATTGTCATGGTTAGTAGCCTATATGATTTCTTAAGTATAATCACTAATTAATGACTAATTTTTGTTAGTTAATAGTTATACACAGTATATATAATACCAATGCTAATATTAGAACAATTACATAATACATGTGATATGCAAGTATCAAGGACTCGAGGTGCACGTTTAAACTATCAATAAAGTATCCTGTATATTACTGTTTGAATTTTTTTTTCAAGAAAATTAATTGATCTGCAGTTTGGGATCTAAACAAGACAT